TCATCATAATGGACCATTTCGGTTTGGGGGGGGGGGGATCCCCCGGTGCGGAGTGAAAAGGAGGGCAAGCGACGCAAGATGGAGTCTCACTGCAGCCTTTCCACAGGCGGTGCGGGGTCAACCGCTGCATCGCATGCCTCTTTGGGGAATTGAGGCTATGGGAAGTTTTGCCCTTCCTCCTATCTGGATCCATGGACCCAGTCGTCACAGAGTCTCATTCGATTCTCTCTATCTAGACCCGCTAAGATGCAAACGGCAATTTTAATGAGACCAAGTGTTGATTCATCCAACCCTCCAATCAGGTGACCCGGTGCCCTCGCTGGGATCCGCTTCTTCATGCCGGGCTAATTAGAGCCTTGGACCAGACTCCAGTGCAAAGGAAAGAGAATGGGAGAGGACGGCAGTGCGACAGAGAAAGTAAAAGGAACAAGGAACAAACAAGCAAAATAAAAAAAAAGAAAAGAAAAGAAAGAAAAAAGCCGCATGCAAAAGTATATTAGTGTGGTTGCCTCGCTTGACCACGGCGATCCCGTAACCCTACTCTAGATCACCCTGGACGGATACTGCTAGAGGGCTCTTACACGAACCTCTGTGGTCGGGCAATGAGATAGTTCAACGCCGCCTGAGAGTCTCAGACTGACACTCAAAAGACTCAGCTATATCTCGCGCCATCTATGAAAGAAGGGAACTCTAATGTCACCCTAATGCAACCTAAGTGGTCCCTCCCAATAGAAAGCCCTCCAACCAGACTCGGCCCCTGAATGTAATCCCATTCCTGGCGCTCTGATATGCGGACGAGATGGGAAAGTTTTCCTCGAGGTTTAAAGAAAAAAAAGGTTTCGCTCACCGAGAGCACTCTTCGCCCGTGGCGACGCGTCAAAGGCTTCTCCGTCAGCGAGGAATTGGTCGACAAGTGAAAAGTTCGAACTACGGAGGGTGAGAGAGTTTTGTAACCTGTTTGTCGAAGCAGCGAGAACAGGCCCTCGTTCTGAGACTAGTCTCGCATGACGGAATGTCTTTTTCACGATATGGCCTGGGTACGGAACTTCACGGCTAGTGGACGTGTTGCTCAGTTACCGTCCTGCGTCTCTAGTCCACCTATCTCATCGCGGGAAACGGGGGCCAAGGGAGAGATCCACCTCGCGAAAAGACTATCTAACCACGTTAGGGAAGCTACCGCGCCAAGACAATTATCGGCAAGGTGGGAGACTAAGTACGGAGTACTCCTAAGTATTACTGCGCAGTACTATGGATGGATGTATCTCGGGGCCATCACGAATGAGACTGCCGGCTACGGGTGGTGGCGCTGATGACTTGGCAATGGGCGGCCCGTGTCTGGTCTTGCCCTAACTTCGGCAAAGCGCTCTACCGGACTTTCCCCGAGAGCGAAAGCCAGTTTTGCCAGAACGATGCATTAATCTGGCAAGATCGTCGTTATGCCTGGAGCCAGTGTACCAAAGGTTAAACAGAAAGGATAACCGATAAGGACCTCCACACTTTGTTCTCTCCCCCATATTGTGGGGGACGGGAGCTAATTACAATCAGTGGAAATCCAACCAGATCGCAGTGGATCCTGGAATATGGCGAATCCAAGCACATCGACACACGCCGTCGGGTTGCTCACGAGAACCCCCACACCGACATGATTCATGAATTGTCATTACTCCCCGCATTTTGATCCGGTGCCTACTAGTTCTCAAAGTCTGTGCCGAACGAGATTCGTGGAGATTCATTGCGTCCCCCCTCCTCCCCGCCCTCCTAGAAAAACATACCAGATCGCATCCGAGCTGCACGGTGCATTCATCTTTTGAACACAAGAATTCTGACAGGTCAGACTCCTCGATATCAGGCAGCAGATGCACCACCGTATCATGCGAATCCTCATTCCATGGACACAACCTCCAACGAGGCCGCCATACGTCTACAACCCTTAGGTGGGCATGGCACCTTCACCATCAAAACCACCAGCGCGGCCTTTCTGGCCATTGCGCTATACAACGCGGTTGAGCTTCTGATTCTCATCCTGGGGAACTTCCATCATCATCATGGCATCTATTTCTGGTCGCTCCTCCTATCGACAGCCGTGGGCGTCGTCCCCTTCTCGATAGGGGCCATCATCGACCTGTACAACCTGAGCCCGTTATGGGTGATCCTCGTTATGATCGACCTCGGCTGGATATTTATGGTTGGGGGGCAAAGCGTGGTGCTCTACTCCCGTTTACATCTCGTCTCGCGCAATGATCGCGTTCTCCGCTACCTCCGTTATATAATCATCATTGATACCCTTATCCTTGCCACACCGATGAGCGTCATCTACTTCACAACCGCTTACGCAAAACCGAGAGTATGGGCTAGGGCCTTCTACATCATGGAAGTCATTCAGGTCATCTGGTTCTCCGTCCAGGAATGTGTCATCTCCGCCTTCTGGATCGTGGAAACGGCGAGGCTGATTCGCCTCCGCCCGGGACACGACAGACGGCGAAAGCGAACCATGTACGAGATCCTCGCGATCAATCTCGCTGCGATTTTGATGGACATCGCTCTCTTAGTGCTACAATTCTCGGGTTACTACTATGTTCAGGTTCCCGTGAAGGCTACCGTGTATAGTATCAAGCTCAAGTTGGAATTTGCAGTCTTGGGGAAGCTGGTCCATCTCGCAACCGCCCAACACACGGACTCCATGGGACTTGGAGGATCACCAGTCATGACTCCTGTTGACGTCGCTGCTAGTAGCTCTCCGTCAAGTGACGCTTCTAAGGTGCATCGGTCTATGAAAATCCCGGGTGAATTTTGGAAGCCAACACCAAAGCACAACGCCGCGAGCGGAGCGCCAATGTGATCCGACCCAGAATCGGCTTGGATTTGACTGCGACATCTAGTGCCTATTCGGGTACAAACTGTTGTTAATTGTATATATGCATGTATTATATTACTGTACTAGCTTTCCGACCCTTTTCGTTACAGGGTTGCCCCGGTTTTCTGAGTCAGAAAGGCACCTTGTTTCATATCAGTGTCCATTAAAGAAACGTCACCATAAGATACGTCTACAATTGCTCAAGTTCCTACCATCTGCCAGAATAGTGAATGTTAAAACTATTTTGAGCAGGGCAAGTATTGAAGACAATATTGTCGCCCGACTGGGAGTAACTCTGTACGGCTGTCCTTAATACTTGAAATATCTGCGAAGCTACAGGGCTATACTTGCACTCTGTCATATCGGCAGACACTGACAAGCACTGTCAAGATTGAGGAATGAAGACTAAATGACAGAAGCACCACAGCCAACGGCTGACACGCCCTAATCATCCCGTAGAAACACATCATCCGCCCGGGGGAAACCCAGAAGTACCATATGTCCGCACAACTTCCTTCTCCATTGGTAATATAAAGCATATCAAATCACGACAGCATGTTTCCATCGCCTTGCATGCACCTAGAACTACGCTCGCGTTAGTCGGGTCTTTCCTATAAAGAAATATCAAAAGACGGAATAACTTATTCTGATGACAGTCACCTTCAACAAAGCTGTAAAGGTGGGTGATAGCCGCGACACTGACCAGACTGGAGAACGCAGCGAGGAGGACAAGAGTAGGAGCCTTCAATTGGTCTTGTGGTTGATTCCTGTGTTTCGTCATGTTGTTGAATGTCAAGCGATAGTGTTTCTTGAAGGTTCCGATGAATCTAATAGAGATGAAGAGAGCTTGGATGAAGAGCACCTTTATATATCTCAGACCTGATCATTCCCCGACCTAACATCAGTCTACGGCCACCGTAACTTGGTGATATCGTGGCTTCCATTTTACTAGACTGATTGAGATCAGCGAGTGGATGCCATCACTCGTATTGTAGCGTTGTGATGACGAGGCTTTTAAAGGTCTGGACTTTGAAGCGGACTTGTTTGGTCTACTGTATATGTTTAAAGTGATATGCTGCTTGGGCGAGGTTGTGATATCACTGGCCTTAGGGTGGAGACTGGGGCACTCTCTAAAATGTAAGGCTTAGATTGTAATATTGTACCGTAATGTGTTTCGTTCCTTCGTAAATTGAGAGACGAGTTCAGTGATATGGTCCAGCCATTGGTCTTCAGACATGACTGTGAGGCTCACCTCCAACAATGTGATTGTAGATCCGTCAAGGTATTACATGCCACTGGTAAATCGATACCCTGTATGACTGGGATCCAACGTGCGCCCTTGTAAGAATTATTCCCACCCTCGGAGATTCACATTTTGCGTGTCATGGCAAGCGCAGTCATCCATTACCACGCCTCCCTATCCACGCATAGTGAATGTTGACACCCCTCAATGTTTTTCAAATGATAATCTGTTTCATGACTTCTCGGCTGCCAAGAGCGCCGACTCTGCGTTGGTTTCAGAGACGGTCAACCAGAAATGACGATCATCTTGGCAGCTTGTCATATCACAAAAAGCCTGTCGGCTACCCCTGTCCCTAATTCGTTATGCGAATAGACTCTATTGCTTAGTAGTGCTTAATTTCACCACCCATCTCTCCGTACGTGTGTACGCTATGAAGCTATGTGATATGTCTATGTAAATATCAGGCCGTTCGTTCAAAACTGCTGTTGTATCTGACTCACCAGGAATATATGGCCAGCCCTTCTGAACCGTACAATCCAAAAGGCTGTACAAGCATTACTGGCACCGAGGTGGTTATTCCGTGGGCAGAGTGCATACTTCTGATGCACCTTTGCTATACTCTAGCAATGGAGTCTCTTTGTACTTGACGCCAACAAGGCAAGGGTGATACGGTCGGCTAGGTATAAAACGTCAAGTACCAGCAACGAGCAAGGCTTAGCGCAACACTGATCATATGGCTGAAAAAGGGGGCTGCTACTATGATCCCAATATTGCTGACCACTTCGAAAACATGAATACCTTGCTGTGTAACACACCCGTGTGCTCAGGTAAAACAATATATATACCGTGTGCGATGTAACCAGCAGAGACACCCAAAGTCAAATAATCCTTTTGGTTTTCAGTTGGGCAGGATAACAGAAGACCAACGAAGTTTGTCGGAATCGTGCCGAATCGTGCCTGCTCTGGGTTGCATCATTGCTATGCGTGTACGACCCGACAAGTACCATACCCAATCCAACGCAGCTGGAAGGTGGACAGCTAGTGAGCCAGGCGTTGAATAGCACTGTCCAGAATTGCTTCTGCATGTTGGGCCTATGTCACATATACAAGACCGGAAAGTTGCGGACTAGTCGTTAGAACTCCACGGGGCATTGCCTCCTTTAGCCTCACCATTTGCGATTCATGACGAGCCCGATCAGCAAGGTGATTGTAGTCGGGGGAGGAGGAAACCTTGGACGCTACATCGTCTCCGCTTTCGATAGCGACACTCGCTTCACTATATCCATATTGAGCCGATCTTCCTCTCGCGCCTCTTTTCCACCTCATATCACAGTGCACCGGACCAGCGAGTACTATGACGAACCTGAACTGATTGACATATTTAGAGGCCAAGACGCAATCGTCTGCACGATAGCTACAAACAGAATATATCAGCAGAAAGTTATCATAGATGCCGCTGCCAAAGCCCGAGTGAAGCGCTTTGTCCCATCTGAATTCGGCCATGATACGCGAAATGAGCAGGCCGGGGAGATGATCCCGTTTCTCTTCAAGGCCAAAAAAGTGATAGTACAGTATTTGAGGACCAAGGAGAAGGAAGGATTAAGTTGGACGGCATTTGTAACGGGGCCATTGTTCGAGATGTAAGTGGATGCTGGTCTTCCCATGTTTGACTTGTGCGAGCTAAGCAACCAACCTTTGAAAACAGAGCCGTCCAGAATTTCCTAGGATACAACATACCCAGGAGACAAGCTATGATACTCAATGGCGGAGCGAATCGCTGGTCGACCACGACTCTCGACATGGTTGCTCTTGCGGTAAAGAATGCAATGCTCGCTCCGGATTGGACGACCAACAGATACTTGTTCATCGAATCTTTCAGGGTTTCCCAGAACGAGATTCTCGCATTGATGGAATACATCGGCGGGTTACCATGGAATACGACACATTGTGACGCGGAAGAGGAAAAGGAACTGGCGTTGGAAAGCCTGTCCAATGGGCAGCTACACGCTATGCCATTTCTAATGAGATATGTAACCTGTGAGAAGGGGTTTGGAGGTCATTATATGGATTATGAGGAGAGTTCGAACAGCGTGTTGTCATTGCCCAGGGAGAGCCTTGATGAAGCCGTAAGAGCTATTCTGCGAGGTGGATAGTGTGATATTACAAATAGAATCTATTTCAATTCGCAAGTGTTCCAGTCAAAGAGGAGGAAAAGGGCGGAAGGTGGATATAGACATGTTCGACTGCGAAAGTCCGACCGGAAGAGCTTTGTCTCCAGAAGGATGTACATAGCGTGAAAATATAACAGCTGGTGAAAGTGTTGCCCTATGATACTCAAAGCATCCATAGCAATACTTCCACGATGGCGAACAATGACCCTGAGATCAGCCAGGCCAGGCCAACCCATACTCCACCCAGATGCAGCCCAGCCGTAAATAAACTTGCCAAACACAGGCTGGATAACATAGTTGCCATTGATTGCAACAGCTCCACAACCGAGTATAATCTTGCTGTCTCTTCCTGCTTCACCAGTGCAGTAACCACAGACTTTATTAGATAGGGGAAACCTGCCCCTACCGCTTGAAAAGCTAAGCTGGGAGCCAGAATAGATATGTGCGACGACAGACTAATCCCCAGTGTTCCGAATATGAGGCATGCACTGCTTGCTCGCGCCAGGTAGAGGTCCTTCTGAAGCGGAGATAAAACGAAGAGGACTCTTGTTGAGAGGCAAGGGAGAAGAAAGAGGAATACAACAATGCTAATGGCGGCTTGGGAAGATACGAGAAGATTGCTTCTGGCTAGAGACCAGCTAAGTCGCGATGATATATACTGTGCCAGGAGCCATGATGAACCGTTAGCGAATTGATACGTTGTGCATGCCAACAAGGCCATCAATATGGTGTGATTTGAGAGAAACCCGTACGGACTGATTATCGCTCGCACCTTCGCCGCAATGGAACAATGCCTTGATATTTTAGGCTGAGATCGCCCAGATATATCAATTGACTCTCTATCCAAAATGGGGTGGAGCTCATCGAATGCTGCTGTGTCTGCCGCTCTTAAGGGAGCTATGCGCCGGGTATTGTTCATTGTTTCTGGCAGCGAGAGCGCAAAGGTAAGTCCTATCACAACGATGCTACAGCCAAGCATCAACGATATCCAAGGATTTAGAGTCATGAGACCAGACCCAATAACCCTCGCGATAAACTCAGCAGTCATACTCGCAACCCCGACCTGAAAGAATACTGTGGTACGGGTTGCACCTGTAGTCAGATCTGCGATCATTGTCCATATGGCTACAACTGCTACCGTTGGCCCTCCACCAATTGCCCAGCTCAGTGCTGCCAGCCATATGGTGCGAAGAGGGAAGAGATCAGAAAACCACAATACAGAGTTGGTGATAATGGCGTTAAGGATGAATCCGGGAACGGTGAGACGTATTGCTTGTCGCCGACCATATCTATCAGCTAGCATTCCATATGGAATCGCGCAGAGGGCACCTATAAAAGATTAGAATAACACCATACGAGGTTGCAGAGAATTCCGACAAACTTAGAAGCCCCTCAAGGAAATCAGAATAGCCTTTCACAGCCGTCACCTCCGTTTGTATCTCTGAAATCTTACAGAATTGTTCCGGCACACGTCCTGAGGTCGTGAATTGATTTGGATCATGCAGGCGCCAATAGCTTTCACACACAATGGACTCAATGATCCGCACCATTGGGCCCGGGATCATTTGCCCCCCTATTTGGAATGCCAGGTATATGAGAACTAGTATCATGAGCCAGTGGTGCCGGGCGTTTTCGTCTAAAGGCGGATCCAACTCGGTGCTGGGGAGGACAAGCCCATCGTCGGAATTGGGGTCATTAGTCGACTGTCTCTGGGGTAAATGAATTTCCATACTGAGAGAATACAGAGGAGACTCAACCCGAAGATCATAGATTGCATTCCAAAAACTCACCTGTCTACGGGCGTCCGCTACCGACTGTACGAAAACAGTTTTACGAGCAATAGCAGGCCTAAGTCCAGTATCCAGATTCATTGCCTATCAAATCTGCTTCGAAAGGGGGGATGATATTGGGTCAGACATGGCGCAGGTTACTCTGCTCTCTCCCCGATTGGAAGCCATTCTTCAGCTAGTAGCCCTAAGCATTCAAAACGGTCCTCATCGGAGACACCAAGCACCACCAGTTGATCGGTGGAAACATCCCAGGTTACGCCAGTACGCGATTAGGATGCCTTCTGGTCTAATGAGATCATCATCCCCCCGGAATTCAATGGTTACATTCGTATTCACCAGTTAATGACCCTAGCCTCCATTGGAGAACGCCTGCCTATTGAGGTTTACATATTTTTCGCCGGTTAATACGATTGTACTACGCGAACAATGTGTAACTTGTGCAATGCATCCTAATCACATCACCGCAGTTTGATGGCTCTCGTGCGACTTTGGCAGACCTTTCCCTTCTTGCTGATGATGTTGTCCTAAGCGGTGTCCTAGCTCTGAGTCTCGATGTTTCCAAGGCGCTGGCCAGATGAAAGCATCCCTAGGAATAGGCATTCGGTCAAATTTGTCTGGGTCCACGGCATTTTCGCGTTGCCAATTGACTAAAGCCTGAAAGTCTCGACACTTACGATTGACGCTAAAGTCCGGCCACGGCGCCTTGCGGTCGTCCACCCAAGCTAGGGTGAGTACCTCTGTATTGGCGTTACACTGAATATTTTGTAATAGCATATCGGTACAATGACCCAAATGTATCCACCACATGTCGTCTTTGGCCTCCACACTTGTATTATATCCGGGGTAATCGGCGAAAGCTGCTTTACGTAGTAGATTCAGACAATGTATTTGCTAGACGTTGTCAGCAATGTTGACATATGCAGTGAAGGAATAGCTCACATGCATGACATCGAGCTGAACCATATACGCATTGTCGCCCATTCCCCAGTAATCGTTGTGGAAACGGGCCACAGTTTCTGGGTCCTTGCCTAGCGTAAGAATATCTTCACGGCTGACAATGTGCGTTAGGACCTTCTCATATTGAGCCCAAGCCGCATCATTCTCAGGACTCGGCTCCTCTCGTGCGATCGATACCTCCGGCTTTGCGAAGAGCGTCCCGTTCAACATTGTGGGATACCTCGGGATTTCGATATCGTCCAGGATGGGAGCTTGAAATATTCAGCTCTGGAACTCAGAGTATGGATAATATGCCATAGCAATGGCAGTACTTACACCACCATGACACGGGTCGAAGAACAGCATTCCTTTCTACCGGGCTCTCACTTTTCCAAACAAGGAGCAGCAGGACAGTTATTCCTAGAATCATGAGGTTCACCATGGTAAGATAGATCCAGGAATGCGGAAGACGAGGCTTTGCGACGCCTTTGCCATTTACGATTAGGGTTTCCGATTCAGAATCAATTTTATCATCATCGTAGGCTTCTGGCTTGATGGTTTGGAACATGTAGTTTTTCCGGGTGATCTGTGAGCATTTTGAGAACGCCATATTCAATGGGGGAGACTTGGCTGAGCACAGATGAACAGCCCTCTTTGACTCCGCTGTAGTATGATGGAAACTATGTATAAAAAAGAGTATATTCTCACCTTAGCTGGTGACTAAGAGGACCTCATGGGGGTGTGTAACTACTGTCAACGATGTCGCTGTTTTGGTGAAATAGGTGCTCTGCTGCACTACGAAACCTAGTGAATTATTACACACTTTAGATAGTGAGTTAGAGTACCATATGAAGAGTGGCCCTGAATCTGTTGAATAGATGACCCTTTACACCTGGCCCTGGATTTATAGATGGCCTTTCCATGCTGTGGAAGGTTGTTATCCCGAACACCTAGTAGAAACGTAGATACTACCCTCTCGTTGCAATAAATTCTTTCTACTAAAAGCCGAATAGTTCCAAGATAATATACACAGGTCAGAAACACAGGCAATGAGCAATGGCATATCTAATTTGCTAAGATTCAATGAACGGCATTTGCTCCACCTACCCCCCCGTATCATTATCTTGCCGACATAAACACGTGTGTTGAGCAATGTGGTACAGTCCAGAATAGTGCCGACATAGAGATCAGGCTCGTGGTCCGGTTGATTAGCCATATCTGGCTTGATCAAATTTGTCGACCGATGAATGCCTCACTATAAATAACGCTAAGCCCGCAAGGTCTTTCCTGCACAATCATCCCTAATTTGAAGTCAAGCTGTCCGTGCCTTGCCTGCGTCATCAATATGCAGATATCTTACCTCTTCGCACTTCTCGGAGCTTCCGTTATTACTTTAGGGCTCCCAACACCCAACGAGGCACTATCCGAGGAGGCTCAGGTAGTGCCATGACACGGCCCCCCTACGCCTATGCCTCTCCGGTGAGGGATGCAAGACCCGATGGCAACCTTGACAAAAGGTTCTACTATCTGCAGTACGCCCCAAAGAGAGATGTAGAACCTGAAAACGAGAGACCTGAGTGATTCGTCTAGTAGGTCTGAAGCTCTGTATGTTTCCTATGCTGTGATTCAAGCTGATTATCGGGTTGTGCTGCAGTTCTAACCGTCTAAACTAAGAGATAGATGTGGATGGCGAGGTCCCCGGCACCCTTCGATCGCCCAGTTCACGTAACGGGTGTCTTAGTGCTCAGTACGCTCCTGGGATGTCGTCCTATCCCAGCATGATCGGCAACAATGCTGTTGTATTTTTCTAGACATCGAAGATCTTCCGTACACTCTGCATTCTCTTACGTCTTCTTCGGTTCTGCAGTTTCCATCTTACTGCATGCTCAAAGACGCCTTTCTTTATGTTTTCGGCATATAACAGTTGTAACTCGCTGAATGACATTCGGGGAACTGCCGTTTTCCCGCACACGCTCATTATCTATAAGGTCCAGCACGTTGTAATTCATGAACTCGAACTCCATACATGACCACCAGTGATTCATAGCTATTGACCACCTGTTAGATCTCCCAATGCATCCGGGGGACTTCTCTTACAGATAAGGAGGTGACTTCCATCGTACTGTAACTTTCCGTCCTGGGTTCGGAAACCCAGGCCCCTCTTGGATAAGAATATGTCTTTCTGTGCTGCGGGTGGTCCATTGCCCGTCCAAGTGGAAATGGTCGTACAACAGCCGTAAAGCTCGTAAGATTCGTAAAGCAGACCTTTGCTGGCTACTGTTGTATATACAAGTCAATCTATGTAGACGGTTGGCTGTACCAGTGCGCTCACCTGTCACGAGGCTGAAATTTGCAATGCCTAAACACGAAATTTTAATATGGAGTACGGCAGTTGACCACTCGGTAGTTCTGCACGTTGGCTCCCAACACCATTGGAACATACATAGCCAAGCATTCTAGCTACATGGAATCTCCTACAGAAAGAACTATGGTGCTAATGATCTTCGGGAACTTGGTATGTGAGTGCCGAAACTACATCATAAGGTGTGCTCGAAAAATAACTGCTTAAAACCACACTGGACTCCGATCTCATTCAAACAGCGGAACAACCTTCCCACACCACCTCAAAAGGGGTGGATATCAAAAGCGTGATGAGCTTCTTGCATTCTTGTCACCACAGCACTTGTCCTCACAAGCCCCAGCACAGCCAATGCTGTACGCACTGCTGAATCCTGGAGCATCGATGATTGGCTCGCCCGGATGATTGGAGAGATAACACTTCTTTGAGCGGGCATGGTAGTCAACACTGTGGCAGGGAACCAGTTCGGAGCAAGCATCCATGCACTCTTTCAGGGAACCTCGGTCCAGGGTAGTAAGGTACTCGGCGCCATGTCGCTTGGCACAATTCATCTTGAAGGTTTCCCCATTGCGACTAGTATACTAGCAGTGGTCCGCCCCAGGACACTCAGTTGTGCATTGAGGTACGAGTTCAGCTGTCTGGGGAATAGTAGGTGGAGGTACTGCGTATGCATAGTCATGGTTGGCACAAAAGGTATCTCCAATCTTGTCAGACTTCATCAAAGCACAAGTCTTAGATTGAGACAAAGCACCATTATCGGAATCCCAGTTGATGGCGAGGCATCCATCCGTTGCACTGCATGTATCAATACATTCCTGATAAGTATTTGCAGTACCTTTCACCAGAGTCCCGAACCAGCCGTGGGTGCTGCACTGAAGTTTAAAGAAGCCACCATCCGGTGCGGGGTAGACTTTGTCGTTACCCTCTGGACATTTAGGCGTCGTTACATATTGTTGGTTACCGGGAGTTGGAGCAGGTGGCTGAGAGATATCACTTGGCTGAGGGTTCCCACTTGGCTGAGGGAATACCGGCGGCTGAGGATTCCCACTTGGCCTTTGCTGTATCAATCAACCCTATATACCTTGCCCAGAATATCACGCTAGAGACAGCTGCCCCACTTCTCTCTTGCTGTCACTGTAACCCACATGTCGGTCACAGCAAAAAGGCCGTTCACATTTCTTCTACGCCATGGTTGTTCTGGGTTGACAAGAGCCCAATCAAAGTTACGCAGCGCCTCCAACACAATCAGTATGTTAGTAGTAACCATGCTCTGGGGAGAATTCATCATGTACCTCGAAAATGGTCTTGCTGATTTCAATCAGCGCCACGGTGTGACCGAGACACTTCCACCGACCGTAGCCAAAGATAAGGTCGTTGACTCTCGTCATATTCGCCAGGTGATCTTTGTCTTCGATCAGCCATCGTTCCGGCCTGAATACTTCCGCATCGTCGCCATAGGTGGCTTTGTTGAGATGCATGCCCAGAGCAGAATACCCGATCCAAGTACCGCCAGGGATTTTAACCGACTCGCCGTCAAGGATGACCTCGTCACCTTCAGACGGTACGTCCCTTGGGAAGATGTTGACGACCGGGACAAACACCCGCAGTCCTTCCCTAATCACTGCCTGCAGGTATGTGAGTCGCCGCAACTGGGCGTCAGGCATAATATCGCTTGAAGGTGCCTTGTCGTCTCGAACCGCGTCATCGATTTCCGCCTGCAGCTTCTTGTACACTCGCGGATTTGAAAGAAGGCAAAGTAGGATGCCACGGATCCCCGACGCCGTGGTGTCGGACCCGGCTAGAACCTGCTCAAACGCCTCCATCCATAGCTCGTTGCCGATCAGCCCATGCCGGATAAACGAAGCAAGCATGTCGCTCCTCGCGTCGGTCGAGCTCTGTAGTCGCTTCGCCACCATCTGCCCGGTCGTGGCCATCATCTTCCCGAAGCCCGTAGAATCATTCGTGGAGGGACCGAGCAGCTTCCCAACCCACTCAATCTGCATGATCCAGTGTAAACCGGTGCCCATCAGGAAGTTCGACATCCAGAGTCCCTCTTCTCCAGATTTGATGTAGCCATGGGCATCCTGATCGGCCTTCAGCATGCCAAAGCTGTTTCCCAGGCCGACCGTACTGATCACATCCAATGTCAAGTATTGGACCTTCTTCGCCAGGTCCATTGGCTTTGCTCTGGCTTCGGTGGACAGGTATCCGTTGCGAATTAGATCTAGAAAGTCCCGCACGCGCAGGTCGATGTCGGCTTCTAGCGACAGATTTTCTTTCCCGGAATACTAAAATCGAATCAGCCACTGGATCGAGCCACCGTCCCGTGGAAGACAGACTCCCATTAACATTTGCCTCCGTCTCCGGTCATGCCGGTCGCTATTCGTCTCGCTGAAGACATGATCCTCGCCTGGCTTGAACCGAGCAGCATGGTAATACCAGTCCGACCTTTTATATGGAGACCGGACTGCGTTAATATGAGCCCATAACTCTGGCGATGAGGTGATGAGCGCATTTGGGCCTATCCGGACGATGGGGCCTACAGCATCCTATCAGACCGGGAGGCCGGCCTCAGCGATCATGAAATTACCCACCATACTTGTCAGTCATTTCTTTATACCATCGTTCGCACTGCAGACTGAGGACCGCCTGGGTGTGCCGAAAACTGGAGAAACCACAGCTAAGGGGCCCCTTGAACTTTCGAAGACGATAGTACGTTTGGACCTTTCTCACGAAGTAGAGCACGAGAAGACCACCGACAATCAACCACCGGGTTTCTAGTAACAGCTCAACTGCGCCCATCTTCAACCAATGAGTTGGATTAGTTGAATTTCCATGCACTGAGGCCCGAGACAAGGTGTTTTAAAAATGCGAACGGGGGGCGACGGTCGGATCATCCTTCATATATCGGCTCTAGGAAGCACTCGGGTGGGGATTCCCCGCTTATACGAACTGATCAACGCCGGGCATCTTTCCTCGACACCCACACCCGAGGCAGGACGTTCTGCAGTTGATAGCCTATTTACTGCATGGTGGGCCTCTCGAGAAACTTTCTTCAGCACGAGTATCCCCACTTCCCGCGTCATGATGATCCGTTAACTTCATCCACCTGCACCCATTGGCCTAATCGTTTATCACACTCGCCGTCGGGCACACTTGCAGCTGTCTAGCTCAATCTATTAAACGTTCACGTCAATTGCCTATCTCAGGCAAATTCCCTCTCGTATGAGGCCAGAATTGGCCTTGTCCATATCATGAATATTGGTGAGGTATAGCCGGATGGTCGAGTTGCCAGATGGATTGCAAGGGCGTCGTGAGACGACGAGATAACGAAGTACAAAAAAGAGAAGAATTAGGATCATCGAGTCGTAATGTAAAACGTCGTAGCTGGCCTCCAAGTCCGCTTGAACGGTGTTTATCCTCATGGGAACAGCACATTCTTATCTGCTCGGGTAGAATCATGCAGATCGGCGGAGAGACCAAGACACGAACAACCATAGACATATTTATGTCTCCATGCATTAAAAGGGACCTAGCCGTATCCGGGCAGACCTTCATCAAGCTCACAAATCGTTTTCCAAATCCACCCTGGACTAGTGGATATGTTACTTAAAAGAGGGGTTCCCCCTCCACCATCCACAGCAGTTCTCTTTCCCGAATGCAGTAGACTCTGAAAGGGATACTCCTCTCGATTGGAATGCCTAAGTCCCACCATTAACTCATACCAACCAATATAGCTCTTACATCTCACGATCCCAGAGTGCCTGCCGTCACGGTTAGCGGGCTGGAGGTGGCACTGCGGCAAGGGGAGCAGAGATCGTACCCAGTCAAACATCTCCAAAGTAACGTCAACGGTCAGCATTGCATGTATCCGCGTTGCAGCCAGCGTTTTAATATTATCCAAGTTGTCGGCCGACTCGTGTTGCTGTTACAAATCCCCTGGAATTGCAAATGGAGTATCCACACCACTCGCGCCCAGCAGACGTAGCACCATGGCGAGGATATCGACAGCTTTCATCGTTTCGAGCGACGGTTTCAGTGAGAATTTCCAGGGTGTGTGCAACGTCTTTAGTAATTGGATGAGCTCACCCCGGACGATGTCATTGAGATATTGGCTGACCCCTTGACCGTCCCTCCGGCGGCAGCATACACAGCCAAACGATACGGCTGGTTTAGGTACTGCTCGGGGTCCCAGTACAGCAGAACGGTGCAGTTTGCCATGATGCCGACCAGGTTCAGAGTATCCTCCTTCAGGTAGGGTCATCCGAGTTGACGGCTACGTGGGGCATCGCATGGTGCAGACTACGAAGCATCGTCGTGGTAGATATTAGGTCAGACGTGGTAAGGGTTGGTAATGTGGGTACGTGGTACTGTTACATGGTATCTATCGCTCTGTATTGTCATGATACAACCCAGCCCAACTCCGTACCAACGGCCATGAAAGAAAAGGATAAGCACTAATGCGCGTCTCTCGCCGGCTTCTTTGTTTAAGGGACTGGGGTTGCGTTCCAGAGAAATGAAAGTGGAACCCCCTTGCTCCCCTTTCTCTCTCTCTCCTCCACAATCAAGCTTCTCATATCGCCAAATCGCCATCGTCGGGACCAGTAGAAAGACTGCACCCACAATCATCCCCACTGCACTGAACAGCTGCAGCCCTAAAAAGCCATCGCTTCCTCCGTGGCCTTCGAGGATTCCCCCAATTGGTGCTCCGATCAGCACGCCGAGACTGGTAGCAAACCACTGCATGCCCATGCGGGTGCCAATGACCGAGGGTCGGCGAGACAATCGGGTGAGCGATGGCCCGCGGATTGGCCGAGATCAACACTCCGGAGAATATCCCAAAGAAAACACAGAAGACCACAAAGCTGGCAGCCGAGTGGATACCCGTCCATCCGAAGAGGAGCACAGCCGAGGCAATAACGCTGACCAGGAGAATGTGGCTTGCTCCGAGACAATAGGTCAGCAGGGACGACCCAATGCGGCCGATGGCCGAGCCAGCGTTAAGGATCAACACCATGTAGAAGCTTAGTGCCGTGGATGCGTGCAGGGCCGTCTGGGCGAAGGTCGGCACGTAGAAGATCGGGATGAAATATGCCATGAAGATGAGGAAATTGGCGATCCCGTAGGCGTTAAAGTGCCACTCCTTCATCGCATGCCAGTGGATGATCTGGCGGAGCGGGGCCTATCGCGTCTTGGTGATGGCCATCAGCAATGGCACTGCGATACAAGAGCAAGCCAGTTGGATGAAACCCATGGTCCGTACCGTCCCAGGGAAATCCGATCCGGGCCTGCAGGCGGATGAAGACCATAGGGAAGATAACCCCACCTAGACGCCAGGTAAGGCAAGCAAGAGAGGAACAATCGATCAGTCCAATGTACCAATCCTGGCCCTGGAGGTCACCAGGCCTACCGCAAGGCCACGGCGCGTAGTGAAAAAGGTGGAAACGAGCGACAGGGCAGGAACATAAATCAACCCACTGCCCAAGCCACTGTAGATCCCCTGCGAGAGAAAGATTTGGTAGTACTCAGTGGACAGGCTCAGCATCATCAACCCTAAGGTAGTCAAGAAACAACCAGCGATCATCCGATGATGCAGGTATCCCCGGTCGAACAGGGGCCCGGCAATAACCCCCGTGGAGACGAGGCAGAAGGCCTGGATGGTGCCCACCCATGCGATACGAGACGGGGCGCTGCTGCTCAAGCGATCAGATTGATAGTAGCTCTGGAACCTCCCAAACGTGGTCAAAAATCCCTAGGTGGTGACGAACAGACGAAAGGAAGCAAACACGCCCGCCCAGGCCGCCAGACCCCCATTGGGTGGCTCAGGAGTAGCAGCAGCAGAAAGCTGTTCAGGTTGTTTGGTCGCCATTGAAGGTTGAGAAGGGACTAGAACGAAGAAATAACTAGAGAGGCGAAAGCGATCACGGAGGAATTAGATCAACAACCAGCGACATAAGTATGTTGGGAAGGCCATTGTGCTCTTTGTGGCTGGCCTGGAGTTAGTCATGTTCACATTAGTTGACATCACCAGGCAATCGCTGGATTTGTAATCGTGCAGCATTAAGCTACCAGACCGAAAGCCCCGAGTCAATACGTGTGGGCTGTTAAGCTGGTGGTGAGCATGTCGGTAATGCCACCCTCTCCGATGGCCCGCGCCCGATCAAGGGCTGCGCATGGTTTGAGGTATACTTGGCTGGGAACCACTGGCCACCCGGCAGCATAGCGAATAACAATTAATGTGAGGAGATGCACAGTATTGAATACAGGTGTCTTTAGATTGAATCGTCAAAGTTGTTCAAGTCAAACGGGAAAGAAACCTCGCATCCCCAAAGCGCGCTGTTCCATCTACAGGGTGTCCTCTTTAGAGTGCATACATAATAGTATACGGCAATCATGTCCCGGTTCATCGATCTACGAGGTTGGTGCGGGGACAAATGCCGACGTGCCGTACGCCATGCAGGAAGATCATTTCATTGCGTCTCCGTCCCAAATACGACAATATCTCCTTCGCTCAGGGCAGAGTACGTATAAATCCGACTGAACTAATGTGTACCCCGCTCATGTCTACATCTGATCCGTTGACCGATCTATAGTTTCCCTTTCGATGGCTCGGCTGGTATTCTCTGTGTATGCTTGTAGTGCCAGGAAGCGTCTGCTAAATCCTTCCGGATGGCATAGTTTGCTTCTGCTTCCTCTAGCACTGCCAAATCTACAGTGGCGACGCCCATGCCTTCAGCTGAGGTGCCCAACCGAACCAGCGGACCGGCATAGGGGATGTTGATTTGGGAAAGACCACAGTAATTTCTACCTGGAGGCCCGCCTGCATTGGCGAAGACCACTGCGCAAGTGTTTTCGAAGGTGCGCGCGGTCAGAATGCTATCGAGAAACAGGGATGGTGCTGACGGGTTTTGACGATGGCCCGCCTCAGAGGCTCCGCTGCGAGTCCACAAGGTGGGTACGATGATGATCTTGGCTCCCTGGGATACCAGTTCTCTCCAGGCTTCGGGGAAGACTAGGTCCCAGCACACGAGGAGGCCTACAGGGCCAAGAGGGGTCGAGATGACTTGGTGCGGGCTGTCGCCGGAGGAGCGAAGGTAGGCTCGCTCGGTAGGACCCCAAAGATTCTTTTTCACATAAGAGCCAAGGATCTCACCTGTGTTGGAGATGAAGTAGGAGACATTCTCGAGGGCTGGGGCGGGCTTGTCGGTGAGCTCTGTGGATGACGCTGATACAGGGCGCACGATGGACCCCGGTACAATGCAGATATTGCACTCCTTGGCTAGAGCCTGATAGCGATGCACATAGCTCCTCCAATCATTACACAATGACGCAAAACTCGGATCGGTGGGAACCCAATTCGTCAGGTGGAATTCTGGCAGCACGGCCAAATGACAACGCTGGGCAGCAGCCTCGCGGATGAATTGCACCGCCCGGGCGAAGTTGTCAGCCGGTTTGAGGGGCTAGAAGCGCACGCGGTTAGACTGTTATTGGTTGAATATGGAAGTTCTCGTTGACGCAAGACATTCGAGGCATGCGTACCTTGACATATAGCTGGATGACAGCGATCTTGCAGAACGGTGGCATGATGGTCGGGGGGAAAGGGATGACAAGACAACGCCGGGGAACAGATAACGATAGAATGGGAAAGTGGCGATAGGCATCGTTTTATGTCAGATCCCTGGCCCTGTACCGTATATTGGCTGCCTGGGTTGGAACACGTTCACCCTGCAGTCAGAGTGGCTGAGGAATCAACCGCGTAGAGCGCCCATGCGAGACCGTACCATACCGTCTCGTCGATCTGTCCCGTCAGGTATTATGACGAGACGGTAAATACCAACGGCGGTAAAGAGACGATATCCATGGCGATGTTCCTTCTCGCGGGTACGCAGTGGCTGTAATCTCTTGGATGCATCGCCATGGCGTCGAAAGAGTAGAGTTGTGAATTGTATGTGTATGTGTTTGTGACTCCCACAGATAACATACGGCCTGAGACAGAAAGTGTCTGAGCGCGTTCGCGTACGGAGGATCATAGCGGCCACTCCGCAACAACAGGTCTTATCAATTTCTGCCAGCAGAACTGATGATGATTTGACTTGCTTAGTTTCACTACCAATTTAGTTACTAATCCTAAGCACCACGTAAAGGTGCAAGTCTTGCTTAGGTACCGTATATAAACCTTATATAATTAGAGGGGTAAGTGCTGGTACTAATAATATTATATTAAAAAGAAAAATAAAGTAAACTAATAAAATTTATATATATCTATTTAATTTCGGGCTATTCTTTCTTATTTAAATTTAAGTTAATTAGATTTAAGGGTAGTTTACTTTCTTTAGGATCTAAGTTAATTAGTATATCCAAATCAATGATCTTAACGTCTATATTAATTAGATTATTTTAAAAGAAACCGAGTCTCCTTGTATACTGACCTTTATCCTCTATTTAAGATACTTTTCTTGAATCCCTAATATTCTATTACAGCTTATCCTGTATAGAGTATTAATTAACTTTATTAGGCCATTTATAATTAACGTAACTTCGTTGAAAGCGCCTAGTACCTGGTAATAATTAGAAAATACTAGTCTATTTTATACACGGTAGTAACGTATACAAAGTATAGCCAACCGGTATCCACGAGACTGTATAAGTAGAGTATAGACGTATAAGAGCTAATGTATCTGGATTTAACGTGCAAATATTCTACCGCGGATAAATTCCATATTATCCCCCGGAAGGGAACAAAGTATACAACGTCCCTTGTCTATATATATAAAGGGGGCGAGAAGTTTAGATTTATTAGTAAGCAAAACTGGGTTTCGGCTGGGGAAGAGATTTTTATATATATGGTGGAACTATCCTTTAAAAATAAAAGCAGGGAGAGTAGCGCGTTAATTACTATTATATACAAAAATAATAAGTTAGTATATAGAAAATTAAATAGGTAACTTAAATAAGAAAACTCAGTTATTTTATCGCTTATATATATATGTAGATATGGTAGTAATAGTAAAAAAGTAACAGTAATAGTGGTAGTAGTGTTATTATTATAGTCAGAAAAAGTTGAGGTTATATAGAAATTTAAAGTAAAGTAAGAAATATAATATTGAATTAATTTAACTAAGGTACCTGTACGACTAAGTAAATAAAAAATTATCCTTTACTAGTAAAGGGTCTATATTTTTAAATTCAGTCTATATCTTTATTATTAATAATATGCCTTCTCCTCGTATAATATAGTATTTTAATTAATACTAGAGATGATTCCGTTGCAGCGCGTTTACGAGACTTTTATATAACTATAGATAATTTCTTTGATAGTGTATAGATATCGGATCGTACAGTACTGCTATTTAGTTAAAAAATTAGAATAGATATCCTTTTTTCTTTAATCTCTATCTTGATCTTTTTTTTAATTTTGATCTTTTCTTTTATAGGTATAATCTCCTCGTTTAGAGTAATTGTCCGTTCTATAATTAAATAAAATATATACTCCTTTTTATCGACAGCTATACGAGACTTAAACTATTTTAAAAGAAGATCTTTAACTACTTGCCGCGTGTCTATAATAGGACTTAGATATATTAAAGACTTCCCTTTTACACTAGTTATTAAACGGTAGATATCATTACTTTATAGACTATATAATTACCGTATACTTTCGCTTATATTATTTAAAAAATCTTGATAGATAAGATCCTGTATTGAATCGATTGTATAAGTAGGGATTACTATTTTAATATACTCTATTATATATTAATA